CAGTTTGCTGTTTCATGTGCACGGGTGGGGTGCTGATCACATTGTCGGTTTGCTGTTTCATGTGCATGAGGGGGGTTGCCGTTCACATTGTCTGTTGCTGTAATTGTGCATGGGTTGGGTGTTGTTCACATTGTCTGTTTGCTGTACTAGGTGCATGGGTAGGGTGCTGATCACATCGCCTGTTTGCTGTACTTGGTGCATGGGTAGGATGCTGTTCACATTGTCAGTTGTTGTTCTATGTGCATGGGTAGGGTGCTGTTCACATTGTTAGTTTGTTGTCCTATGTGCATGGGTAGGGTGCTGTGCACACTACCGCTCTGCTGCTCTAAATGCTTGAGTAGGTATCGACAGGTCACTTCTTGCTGCGTCCTCTCTTGGGAATTCTACGGTTCTGAAAGGGAAATCTTCACTATTGCAAGGGGGCCTGCGAAGCCGAAAACCAGCGACCTACGAAAGAGGCCAGAGGGGTAGGGAGTTGGGCGGTAGAATAGGACCCGTCGCGGACCACGGGCCAAGCAAACCACCATAGCCAAGCACCTTCAACCTCCATCCCCCTGCTTCACCTACATCCGTCCACCGTAGCGATGCACCTTCAACCTCCACCTTCCTCCTTCGTCTACACCCATCCACCATTGCCACGCACCTTCAACACCCATCTCCCTCCTTCACCTACACCCGTCCACCATAGCCAGGCACCCTCCGCCTCCATCCTCCTCCTCCACCTACATCCATCCACCATAGCCGTGCACCTTCAACCTCCACCCCCCTGCTTCACCTACATCCGTCCACCGTAGCCATGCACCTTCAACCTCCACCTTCCTCCTTCGTATACACCCATCCACCATTGCCACGCACCTTCAACCCGCATCTCCCTCCTTCACCTACACCCGTCCACCATAGCCAGGCACCCTCAGCCTCCATCCTCCTCCTCCACCTACATCCATCCACCATAGCCGTGCACCTTCAACCTCCACCTCCCTCCTTCACCTACACCCATCCACCATAGTYATGCACCYTCAACCTCCACCTCCTTCCTTCACCTACACCCATCCACCATAGCCACGCACCTTCAACCTCCATCTCCCTCCTTCACCTACACC